TTGCAACAGTTCTTTGTTGTCATGGAGCATTGACTTGGAAATGCAGGTGAGAGAAAAAAAAACAGAAATGTAATGAGTTCTGATTTTTGGGACAGGTGCAGTATGAATATAGAATGTATTGTGCTTGGACTACATTTGCTTAATTTTAGCAGCTGATCAGGAAGTGTTTCAGAATGCTTGCTTCTACGTGTCTGCTTATCTGAAAGAAAACTGAGATTCTTTCAGGATTCTTATCTGCAGGAATTGGCCCTGTCAGGCTGAAATCAGTTCTCTTTTAATGATGCTGATGGGGGTCATAGCTGTTCCATTTAATAAAAGGAGGAGTGGTAATTTAATAGCTCATCTAATAATGTTGGGCTGCCATGCAGCGTTCCTGGAATCCTGGCCCTTTCCATGTTGGAGAGGGACAGAATGCTTGAATCTTCACTGAAGTGATCAATTTGCAGTCACTTCTCCTTGAGATTTCAGTTCATCTAAAGATGCATTTCTAGAATTGGAGACAGATCTTGGTCTGTTTGCAAAAGTATTAAAACTTCACAGAGATTCCTTGCTTCCAGTCTTATTCAGAACGCATGGACTGAGTAGTCGGATTGCACTTTTTCTTTGTCTAAAAGTTGTACTATTTTCTGTGGTCTTCTTCATAATCATGATTGGGGACGGAGGTGATCCATGAAACAATCACTCAAGATGTTGGCCTCCTAAAAAAAAAAAAATGAAGAAAAGTCCTGGAGGACATTCATAATGTTTCATTCTCTGCACTTCTCATAAATGTATATATTCTTAAATGTAAACTGGATGATAGTAGCAGAGTCAAAAAAAAATGGAATGGGTCACAGTACTTTCCCCCTATCTCCAAACTGTTAAGAGCAGAAGAAAAGCCGTCAACCATCTGGTAGAAGGTTGCAGAGTACTGTGGTATTCTCTTGTGCTGTTGTACTGCCTTGGAGTAGAGGAGCAGACACACATTATGTATGCTGATGTACTTAGACTTTTAAATTACTGCTGCTGGCTTCCCACCCCCACTTTTGATCACAGAAATGTGGGATAAAAAGTTAACTGTCCCTATATATTGCTATATATTATATCTGCTTCATTGGTGTAAATGCTGATTACACCAATGTAACCATGTTTTGTCCGGGTCTCAAATGCCTTTCAGGGCTCAGCCAAAGTTCTTGCCAAAGATAATGACTCCCATCTCAGTGAAATACCATATTTGCCTGTTCTCTTTTGTCAAGGTGTATCCTGTGAAATGTACCTTAAACTTCACACCTTTGATGTCCTCAGGGCTCTAGATCCTTTCATCTGAGGGGGACTAAGCCATTTATAGTGCTCCTTCAGTCTGTTTATGAAAGCAGAATTAGCCCTATGAAATCATCAGCCATTGAAAGTGACAGCCCAGCCCAAGGGAAAAGTAGTAGCTTTTATAGCTTTGGGAAATGTTCCAGTACATAGGGCATAGTCCGGATGCATAGGGCATCTACTTGTAATGCATATGCTTACGTAGCATCACTGCATAGTAGAAGCATCAAGATCTGCTGCCTGTTTTCAGTTTTACTGAAGATAGATATCTAGAGTCTCCCTCAGCAGTTCCCGCCATCCCTCAGAGTAATCTAGATCTCTGCTTGAGAATCATCTGCAGTGGAATATATGTATGGTCCAAGCACTAGAAGAAAGTTACCACATGTTAATTGTGGTTCTGGTTTGCATATATTTCAATATGCTTCCTCTTTCCTTACTTTACAATAAGTGTTGTAATATCTTGATTCTGGCAAAGAAGCCGAATAATGTTTGCACTTGCCCTGCTCTTAATACTCTTTAGCAGGAAGTATGAAAGTGTTCAGGGTGTGGGTATAGTCTCAATGGTCAACAAAGAATCCAGACTTGTATACATAAGGTGCATATGCCAGAGTAGAGATGTGTCCAACAAGTCTCTTACCATGCTTACTGAAAAGGAGGTAACCGTTTCTTGCCTTCTCCCACAGGTGTGTTCTCATGCTCCAGAATTCATGTACTTCTGACAAAGCATGTATCGGTAAGTTTTATGTAATGAATCTTAGAAATGTAGACCTACATATAGGATGGCAAAGAGGCTGTTTACCACAGATAGGCCAGCCAGCAGCTCTGTTTTGTGCTCCTTGCCCTCTCTGCCCCTGTGTTCTCTCCCTGATCTACTATGTACCACACACACAAGCTGCCTGTGCCATGCATACATGCCACAGGTTGGCCATCCGTCATCTAAATGATACCTTCACCAGAATACCAGTTTCGAAGTTTACAGTTACAAGATGGCTAATCTTAATCCATATTTCTGCTTCCTTTTTTCCTGCAGATTTCATACACAGACCAAGAGGAAGCATTGCATACTTGAGAGAGACAATGTGATGTGTTCAACAGGGAAAGATGCCTTCTAGCCAACCTGTGACTTGGAATTTATTTTAGTTTCATGTGACAGATACATTGTGGTAACTTTTTAAATTTCGTAATAAGTCATAGTCAGTATTTTATACATAATATGTAATGTGTCTTTGCTTATTTTAGTAATTCTTATAATGAGCTCTTTTTCTGTTTCCTAATATATTAGGGTTACACATGGATATCCAGTCTTTCCTAAGCTGACTTAGTCAGTCTATTTGTATAGGTCACTAGTAATGTTACTTTACTTCTTACACCTAGAAATACTGGGTTTCAGTAATAGCTTGTTCAGCAGTGCAATATTTGGCTAATTAGGAAGTCCTTTAATGCCAAGTTGTATTTTTTGTTTCTTGCAGCAGTTACAGTTGTGTGCCTTTGAGACTCAGCCTTTTGTCCGCTTGTCTGGTGCAGACTAGCCATTTCCTTGGCATCACAAATGTCTAATTAAAAATAAGATATGCTTTTTGTCTTAATAAGAAAGATGGAATTGAGCAAAAATGCTTTTGAGAGACACTCTATACTTAAAAGGCAGCAGATGTTATCATTCTCAAGTTTATCTTAAGGGGAAATATCTTCTAGATTCCATTTACCTATAGGCTCCCATTTACTCCGCAGAATATTTTTTGGTTTTTTGTGAGCCACCACAAAACAGCCTTGTTCTTTTGGTGCCATTACAGCAATAGTAAATTGGAATAATGCCCCCAAAAACATGCCCTAGTTTTTCAGCAGCTTTCAAAACCTGGCAGGTGTTTTTTTTTAAATGGAAAGGGATAAAATCTAGAGGAAAAAAGTTCTTGCTTAAGTTTTAGGCTATTTTGAGGTCATTGGAAACAAGCTAATTGTAACAAAGAAAAGGTTTCATATTTCAGATGGAAATCTTGTACAGAAAGATAAAGGGGCCCATGCTCAATAAATCAAGAGACTGCTTTACTGACTACCTCAGTAATGAAAGTGGCTATAATAATTTTGTGGTGGCCCTGTGGTGGTGGTAGTGGGTGCCAGTCAGACCTTCAATCCAAGGTCAGTTGTCTTGATGCTGGTGGTAGAAGTCTTTGTGGCCTCTTCTGTTTTTTGCCTCAATTTTCTCTGGTCCTTTTATTTTGTGTGCAGTGCATGATGCAGCTATTACAGCTCATACCCACAAGCTGACATAGTCAAAAGTCATGTTCTCTGCTGAATGACTAATCTTGCCTTTTCTGCCTCGAGTGCCAATTGGATTTCCTAATACGACGTACTACTGCAAAATGTAGTTACCAGAGCATCTGACAATCAGCCAGTGCCAAAGGGCTAATGCAAATGGGCACCATTGCAGAATGTTGTTGCTATATCTGAGCTCATGCACAGCAACAACCTTTTTAAATTCATTTTTCCATCGTTTTGAAGAGATGAGTAATTTGACTTATTCCTACATCTAATCTTTTTAAATGCCCTGAACTCTTGCTTTAATGAGAACTAAATGACTAGTTTTAAATGAGCCTTCCTGCTGAGCAGCTCAGATGTTGATCTATTCTGGTATTAGTATTTACAAATGTTTATATTCTGAGTATCTTGTCTAAATGCAAAATAAAACTTGCCACCATAACCTGTACTGCCTCCTAACCAACTGTCATTCTTAGAGCTGTGCACATTGCTACTGATCTCTCTTGGTCTTGGCACACCATGAGGGAAGCAAAATCTTCGTTAGATGCACAGAGGTGATAAGTTCTTTCTTCCCAGACAGGTCGATACCAAACTAATAGGAAAAGAAATTTTAATTGTTTTATATTTTGCCTTTCTGTACAAAGAAATAAAATATTACCAGGGGAAAATATTTAGCAAACTGCTTTACGGAATAAGTTGTTATAAATATACCATAAATATCAGTTTTAAATGTTACTGAAAGCATGAGTGAATATTTTAAAGTACATGACTACTTTTAAAATGACCACTGGTATACTGCAGCCATATACCTCTGCACTTTAAAGTTGCTCAAATTACATCTGTTACATGTTCTGAGGTGTAGTCCATCTTGCCAAGGAAAACTATTCCATAACATTTCAGTATGTTTTTATGTTAGAAGTCAGTACTGTAATATAAACTGTAATAATACTCCTAACCAGTGTTAAAAAGAGAACTGTGAAAGCTAATATGTATGCAAGGGATGAGTACATGTATAACCCTATGTGTACATTAGTTTAAATTACATTGTTTTCCCTGTATTCCCTTCTTATGCTGAGTTCTGTTTGGAACAAAAAAACAATTTTGTGAGTCTGCTATGCATTTAGTCCAGAATTGCAGTTTGATCTCTACCTGTGGAATTGTCTTATGCAAAGTCCTGACATTTTAGGGTAGTATATGTATGTTTAAAAACAGTTAACTTCAGTAGAGTTTTATGGTTGGTTTTTAAGCAAATAGTTTTAAAATTACTATTTCTAGAATGGGAAATGTTCTTACTTTTGCAGTGAAAGAAAGTGTAAGTTCATACAACTTGCTATTTAACTGATTAAACTTTTATATGACGGTTAATTACTTTCACCTACACTCCGCTGTTGTGGGGATAAGACCTCTGTGTTTCTGTTGTTTTTAATTTTTTAGGCTCTTGATTGCAATTGTCATTGTTTTTATCCAGTGACTTGAAAAATTTATTTTTAGTCTTTTATATCATTTTCAAACTCCTTTTCAATATGAAGCAAAGCCACATTGGAGGAAGAGATACTTTGTAGTCAAAAATAGATGTTACATGCTGAATTAAAGCATTTCCTGGCCCACTGAAAAGGCCACAGTTTGTTGGGTTTTTTTCTTTAATAGGCATATATCTTAGTTATTTTAGGAGTCAAAATACTACTATATTTGCAGTGCTTTAAATATGTGTACTAAAAGGGCTAATCATTAAAACAAATTTTACTACTGTATTCAATTTTCTGTATTCTATCATTAGCCAAGACTATAATAAAAATACCAAAACATACAAAGTTTGTTTGTTTTTTATTTATAGTCCAACAAATACTAGTGTGTTGGGGAATGGCATTCTGGGAATTGAAGGAGAATTTAACTCGAGTGTAGGGGTAATATATTAATGGAACTCCATACTGCGGCGGGGATTAAGAGATACTTACTTGCACAGCGCTTACAGTCTATGCGGTATACCCTCCTGTTGGTAGCCCTAATCTCCCAAAGCCATGACGTGATCTTGTTCTGCCTGCAGCCTCTTTCCACATCCTATGACTCATTTATAACTTTATCACAGAATGCAGATATTACAGGTTGCCAGATGAGGCAAAGTGTATGCTCCTCTGTATTCATTCCTGATTGAGTGTCTAGAAAGAGATTTAAGTAGTTGGCTTTGACCTAGAAATTCCTGTACAATTTAGGATTGGGTTACCTGTGAAACTAACTCAGCTCTCTATGTGGTAATGTTGCAAGTCAAAAGCTTTATAACAAACAGTCCCTTGTTTTAAAAGGTATATAGCTATAACGAGCAGACTTTTATGCTAGGGACTCTTGATTTAGTGATTTGCACTCTCTTGCATGCCTTGGTCTGACAGCCTAAATTCCCTCATGCATGCTACCCGGTGCAATTGACTTCAACAGATCACTGGCATACCCCAGGACAGGACAGTCTTGGTTCTTTTTTTAACACAAGTGGGGAAAAAAAATTAAAAACATGAGAAGGGGCATTAATGACTACAGAACAAGGAATTTGCTTCCATGGAAAGTGTTAAAAAAAAAAAATCAACACTATTGACCACAATTTACCAAAATGAAACTGGTCTATGGAGTCACCAACCACTCAGACACAGGTACATGCAGTAAGATGATCCAGCTTCCAGTCTATAAGCAGGAGGAGGTGGGAAAGCAACTCAAGACATGTCAGACTTATCTGATGCATAAACAAATTCTCCTTTGTGTGGCAACCTATATTGAGTCACTTATGCTAGTGTGTGAATGTCCATAATTTTCTCTTTGTTATGCTTTGAAGTATGGATGATGTACAGCATTCTCTGCATTCACAAATTAGGTCCCATATGAGCACACAATTCACTCTTATGCCTTTGTTTCTGGGGAGAGGGGAGGGGTTGCAAACTGGGAAGGGCTACACAGCATGAGGCATGTTATTCCTGCTTTAGGCTGATCAGAGGACCCTAATGTTGGGGGAGAATACCCATGTGCCACAGCCCTTCCTGGTCCAGCTGTGAGCAGACGTGGGGCAGTTTTACCTGGAAGCAGCAGAATCCAGCTGAAATGTGCTGAGGTTAGTTAAGGCAACACTAATGGTGCTTTTCAACTGAGGATGCTACTAAATTTAAAAAAAAACAAAAAACAAGTGGTGGAAGGGTGCCCTGACTGAAAAGGTTGAGAGCCACTGTATTAGTCTGTCAGACCTATCTCTTCCCTGCCCAATTTCTTCCTGGAGAGCACTGAGATAAAGCAGGGTATTCCAGATCACAGAACTCAAAGCTGCAGTTCCATCACCCTAAATATTGACAAATTCTCTGCCATCTGCTTTATGCCCAATTACAGCATGGACTTAGGAGCCATGTCCAGATGAGCCGTTTGTTTCCATGGAGACGAGTAGCAGCAGCACACCTTGTGTTGCTGCTGCTTGTCCCTAGGGAACACCCATGCTGTGCACTCTGGCATATGGCAGGTTACCCCAGGTGAGGTAGGGGAAGCTGGGGCCAGCAACTGTGCTAGTAGTCCCAGCAGCCTTAGCTGGGATCCTGGGGGGCTCAGGGAGCTGCAGCTGCAGCGCTCCTGCAGCTGGGAGGCTGGCTGGCAGCTGGAGCATGGCTCTGGCTGGCCAGTCTCCAATTTTGGATGGCATGTGCTGCTCCCACTTGAGCTGCCCTGCTTTTTTAAGGTGTGGGAGTTTTTTTGACTGGGATCTCCCAGAGTCAATCCTCCCTTTCCCCTCCCCCCCAGTGCTGCAAGGTGGGAATGCCTACACATGTGTGGCACCCCAGATGGGTCTGCAGCACCACATACTGCACATCTACGCTTATCTGGACAGCCAGGATGACTGCTTTCAAATGTAGCAAAAGCAGCTTGCTGTTGCAAGGATCAGAAGGAGGGGTTACCTCTAAAGGGGTATGTATAACAATCTAAAGGTTGGTACAAGTCATACATGGGTAATCCTAGGTCCACAAAACCCACAAGTTGGAAGCTTGCCGTAAGTTCCCGTGGTGTTCACTAGTATGTCTGGCTCTTACGGACTTCTTGGATCCTGCCGTCTCATTGGGCTCTGGATAGCTTGGTGTTAAAGTATCTGTTTCATAGTTAGTAGGGTCCGAAGGGACCTGAGCAAATCATCAAATTCGACCCCCTGCCGTGGCAGGAAAGAGTACTGGGGTCAAACGACCCTGGCGAGGTGTTCATCCAGCCTCCTCTTAAAGACCTCCAGGGTAGGAGCCAGCACCACTTCCCTTGGAAGTTGGTTTCAGATCCTAGCCACCCTGACAGTGAAGCAGCGCCTACTGCCATCTAGTCTAAATCTACCCTCTGCCAGCTTGTGACCGTTATTTCTTGTCACTCCTGGAAGTGCTCGGAGGAACAGGGACTCTCCCAATGCCTGCTGGTCCCCCCTGACCAGTTTGTAAACAGCCACTAGATCTCCCCTCTTGCGAGGCCTTCAGGGGGTTCTCATCTGCCACGCCTTTGGAAAAATAAGTTTGTTGTCAGGAATAAGATTGTTACGTCTCGCATTCCCTGAGGCCTTCCTTAACTTTGCTTGTCAAATTATAGCCACTTTTCGTAATCATAGGCCTCCTCCCTGGGGATCGCCCAATACACCGCTTGAGCTTTTCCTATAACTAAGGATCCTAGCTGACTTGTCCACTGCAGCTGGTCAAGACCCATTTGTAATGCCATCCATTCAAATGATTCTATGTATGCCTCTATATCGTCTTTTCTCGTCATTTTATGCATACTGAAGGTGGTCCAATTTCACCGCATCCATTCCTGCTGTTGTAACGCTTGTTGTTGGACCTCTAGTACTTCAGTGACAGCATGTAACGTCTGGCCCAAGAACTCAACCTGGGGTGTTCGCCTTCCCTGGGACCCTCCTTAACTTTGCTTGTCCAGTTTCCCAATTCGGGGCTCTGCCTCCCCTACACCCCACCTTACGCCAACCTTAAGTTATCTTCCACTCACCTCTAAGGTGAGCCCCAGTGGTAATTTGTCTTGTCCTTTTGACCTTTAAAAAGATTAGGATATGGATCTCACTTGGCCTAAGCTACAGGCTATAATGGAAATTGGCTTATGGTCCTTGCTGTCTCTGGGTTGCCTTGTTTTCAGGGACATCTCTGCTTTTCGGTTGTCATTACTGTGGTCCAGACTCACAGCTCTCTCTTCCCTTTGCAGGGTCCCTGGCAGTCTAGTCATGTCCGGAGGCATCCGGGATCCACAACTTGGCTCGAGGTAAGTACCTTTACCCTTGTGGGCTTGTCTCCCTTCTATGTGCCCCCCTCCTGGGGCAGCCACCACTGCTCCTCTCTGGAGCTGTCTCCCACTCAGGGCTCTTCTGGCCCCACCAGAAGGCTCACTTCCGGTCCTCCTAGCTCTGTCCCTGGTGGAGCTTTTATCTCTGTCTTAAGAGGCCGGGCAGGGAATCAGCGCCGGCACACCGCCATAAAACAGGTCCGTGCTGGGGCTAGAGCCAATCCCGGCTCTTCCTGGACCTGTTGTTGTTTCTTTTTTTTTTTTCTCTCTCATTGCCGCAGCGGTTTTCCCCACCGCAGTTTCACTCCCACCAGGCTTCTAGGTTTTTGTTGGTGTCCTGTTGGCTCAGGAACTCTTCCTTTCAGGGTAAGTTTTTCCTTGGGGCATTGCCCCTATCACACTTGCCCAAGAAGTAGCTTGTACTTTGTCATGGCAAGAGTGAATGCACCAAGAGGGATGTGATGATATTTATTGTTTGGCATGGTACTACACAGTGAACATTGCAGTAGGAAGTGGAAGGGATGACAGTAGCTAACCTTTCTCAAAACAAAGCACAATCTAATTTGTTGTGAGAATTCCCTGTCTTGTTCACAAATTTGGGTGTGGCTGCATAATGCTCCAGAAGTGTTGGACAGTCTTGGCATGGCCTCCCATGCCAAAATTCTCTAGTGCTGGCAGTTTGTGAGCTGAGTTTTGGCATTTGAAACGTAGCAAAGACCAACTTCATTTCTTCCCACATGACAAGAGACTGTGTGCATTTGGCAGGAAAATGTAGGTGTCAGCTATCTCACAGCTGTTCTGGGAAGAACAACTTGCTTTCAAAATGACCAACCTGCAGGCTCAAGCAGAGCCAGTCTTGCAGGCACTGTGCTGACAGGCTGCTTAGCTTTAAGGAACAGGTTTTGCAAGGCAGGAAGTGTCAAGTTTTGATCATTGTGGGAAAGTCACAGAACCCCCTCACAGGCAAAGAATGTGGGGAGTTATTACCTCATGCGAGCCCAAGGCTCATTCCTCCTGATTTGTACAAAATGCAGTATAATGACTCTACAGAGGTAGGCACACCCAAGTGTTTACATTAAAATCACTCTTGCAGCCTCTCTCTCCTTCAACAACACACCTAACTGCCTACATCAACTGTAGTGATATAACGCAGACATGTAGGCTTAAGGTGTGGCAACGCCCCAACAAAGTCCAAAGCTGCCAGATACAAATTTCTGCTTAACCACATTAGTTGCAATTGACAGCAGAAGGAAAAAGCCTCTCGAAATTCTGCTATGCTCAGCAAAATACCTTGCTGAGGATGGTAGAGAGCTCAGCCTCTCCTCATGCTTTCCTCCAACTGAGAAACCAACTAGATGAATAATGGAAAAATGCCTTCTTTTATAAGATGCAACCAAAAATTCTTAGTAGAACACCCATGGTAGTATGTACCAACAACTGCCAATATTACACAGATTAATGAGTAGGTAGACACGCTGACAGCTTATGTAAAACAGTCCATTAAAATTAATGGGAAATTCCTCCACTTT